GAAAGTAATTTTATGGTTGGGGGGTCACCACATGAACTGTATTAAAGGGTCACGGCATGAGGAAGGTTGAGAACCACTGCTGTAAACCATTACTGCCTCAGAAAGCCACAGGGCCAATCCTACTGTGTGCGGGGTCACTGTGAGTCAGAATCAACTGGATGACAGTGAGCTTTTCTGAAGCCAGAAACCAAGCATGCTGACTCATAGTGACCCTCTGTAGGGTTTTGGAGGCTGTCAATCTTTATGGGAGCAAGACAGCCTCCACTTTCTCCCAAGGAGCTGCTGGTGGGTTTTCCCCACTGACCTGGCCGTTAGCAGCCTCCTGCCTAACGCTCAGCACCACCTGGGTTCCTTCATAATACGGCTAGGTAGCAGCCAAACTGCTGATTCCCAGATCAGTGCTCCTTTTCTCTTAAGGAGACATAACGATCCATGTTTCTCTTCTTGCCCTTGCAGACACTGAAACACTTTTTGAAAAGTAGCGTATATGGTCCTTGTGAAAAAATAAACCCCAACGCTTCAGAACACTCTGGTCCTTTGCACTCCCATGCCTCATCATTGCAACTGTTCACAACTGCGTATGGACTTTTTTTTCCCCAATAGATATTTATTTTCATGACAAAACCAAGGTCATAGGGGTGTCCAACTGGCACCCTGTGTGGGCCGCATGTGACCCCTGAGGTAATTTTTTGTGGCCCACACTGCTCTGAAATAAAATGAAAGTAGAAAAATTTGTTATGAAGAAAATAGCGCTTAGGGGAGATCAAGGCAATACTGTACACACAACTCCCTCGTGACATTTTATTTCAGAGCATCGTGGGCCACAAAAAATTGCTTTGGGGGCCGTCAGTTTGACACCCTTGGTTTATAGCTGGGGGGAGTTTTGTTTTGTTTTCATGAGCAATATAGTTGAGGCATCGTTCATCGACGGGCAGTTCGTTCATTCCTGCGCCTGTTAGGTGTCTGCTGGGTGGCTGATCTGTGCCAGGCATTGTGTCAGGTGCTGGGGACCCAGCAGTGAGCAAAACAGCTGAAAACCTTTCTCATCATCGGAGCTTGCTTTTGTGTGCGTGTGCGCCTGCGTGACTGTCAGATGCCAGGGGCGGGCGATGTATGGCAAAGGTGGATTCCTCGTTTTCTTTCAACTTGTCATCCACGACGCTGAGTGCTTTGCCGCCTTGTCCTTTTGTTCTCCAGGATGTGTAGGCCAAGTGGTTAATGAGCTGTCAACCAACGTTTCAGTGCTTGCACTCCCTCCACCTCGCAGAACCGGAAGCCGAAGAACGGCCCCCTGATTCCATTACATCGGTTGCCCAGAATTTGAAGATCAAATATTGCGTGTATTCCCCGCATCACAGCCTCCTATAAACAGTTACTCGCCTTTCATGAAACAGCAAAGAGATCGGCTTAGGGGTTCAGCTAACCCTGAGCAAGGAACCAGACCTCTGCGGGCCTCGCTGTCCTCCTCTGCCAGTTGGGGAAGAGCACAGTGCCTGCCTCAGTGGACTAGGGGGACAGCTCACTCAGCTCATGCAGGAGAGCGCCTAGCTTCTCGGCACTTGGCACCGAGAATGCGCTCAGGAAGCGCGGACGTTCTAGTATCGCCCCTCCTCTGCCAGGCTGGTATGGGCTTGGCACTGTTAGAGAGAAAGCTGCACGAGGGCAGGAGAAACCACCTCGTGCCTAGCCTCCTACCTGAAAACGCCACGAGTCGTGAGGATTAAATGAGTTCATATCTACCAAGTGTGTGAACCATGCCTGGCACATAATAAGCATTCTATAAGTATGAGCAGCTTTGCTTATGTGAGGCAATCGCTTAAGGAGATCTCTTTTCTTCCCCGGCCTCCCCTTTTCTGGGGCCAGGGAGGCTGTTTCTGCTTCTTGCTGTTATAAACCCACTGCACCGAGTGTGTTGGTCTCTTTGGCAAAGGAGGGCAGGGGGGTAACCCGTGTTCTCCCCACCTTTTCTTGGCAGGTCCTTCGGGAGGGGGCTGAGAGCCTGGAGCATCACCTGGGGCTAGAGGCCCTGATGTCTTCGGGGCGGGTGGACAACTTGGCTGTGGTCATGGGCCTGCACCCGGACTACTTCAGCACCTTCTGGCGCCTGCACTACCTGCTGCTGCACACGGATGGGCCCCTGGCCAGCTCCTGGCGCCATTACATAGCCATCATGGTGAGCCTGCTGGGTTTGACGCGTGGAGGGGGTCACGGGGGCTTCTGCCTCAAGAAAGGCAGAAACCCTGGCTTCATCTGATGGTTCGTAGAATTTTAGATTGTGAAGAAGCACATGCTTGTTGATGGGAAACGCAGGTATAAAGGGACCTAGTGACCTGTAAAGGTCGCACAGCAAGCTGGTGGCAGATCTAGGGCTAGAACTTAGGTTTCCTGCTCCAGGTAATGATGAACCTTGTGGTGTTGTCCCCATGGGATAGCCACCCCGAACCAGGGCACAGAAAGAGGCAGGGTCAGCCAGGTCTGTCCTTCATCCCACAGGCTGCCTCCCGCCACCAGTGCTCCTACCTGGTGGGCTCCCACATGGCTGACTTCCTGCAGACGGGCGGTGACCCTGAATGGCTGCTGGGTCTCCACCGTGCCCCCCAGAAGCTGCGCAAACTCAGTGAGATCAACAAGCTGCTGGCGCATCGGCCGTGGCTCATCACCAAGGAGCACATCCAGGTGCAGTGGGTGGAGAGTCCGGTGGCCGGGGCAGGGGCAGCCCAAGGACAGGCATTGAGTGGGTCCGGCCTTCCTTTTCCTGCAGGCCCTGCTGAAGACGGGTGAGCACAGCTGGTCGCTGGCTGAACTCATCCAGGCCCTGGTCCTGCTCACCCACTGCCACTCGCTGGCCTCCTTCGTGTTTGGCTGTGGCATCCTTCCCGAGGGGGACACGGACGGCAGCCCGGCCCCACAGGCCCCTTCTCCCAGTGAGCAGAGCACCCCCCCTAGCAGAGATCCACTGAACAACTCTGGGGTAAGTCCCCACCTGCTGGGTCTTGGTGGGGGGACAGAAGGTGGCATGGGCTCTGGCGGTTTCGAAAATCCCATTCCTTGTCCCCTCACACCGAGAGGCCCTAGACAAGCTAATTGCCTTTGAAGCTCAGTTTCCTTGTCTGTGAAGTGCGGGGAAGAGGACCGTGAGGATTACATCACAGGGTGGTGAGGCGCTAGTGAGATCATGATGTGACGGGCCGTTCAGCAGGGAACCCCACAGGCGCAAAGTCACCTCTTTCCTTCTCAGTCTCAAAATGATTTCTTAAGAGTGCTTATTCATGAAGTGGCCTGATTAGTTTTACTATAAAAACCCAGATTCTTTAAAAAGACCTTCCCTGTGAGAGAAGTGGATGCTCTGAAGCATGGTTCTCACCCCTCCTAATGCCACGACCCTTTCATACAGTTCCTCATGTGGTGGTGACCCCCAACCATCACAATTTTTTGGTTGTTACTTTATAACTAATTTTGCTACTGTTATGAATAATCATGTAACTATCTGATTTGCAGGATGTATTTTCATTGTTACAGATTGAACATCGTTAAAGCATAGTGACAAATCACAAAAACAATATGTCATTCTATATTGTGAAATATTGATTTCTAATGACAAATAAACGAAATTTTGTCTTGAAGCATGGTGCAGCATGGGTAACAGTCTTCATGCTGGGTCATCATAGGTGGGCGTATCTGCATGTGGGCAGACCCGACTGGAGACGGATAGAGCAGGGTGTCTCGGTTCCTAAGACCATCGGAAATATGTGTTTTCCGATGGTCTTAAGCAACCCCTGCATAAGGGTCGTTTGACCCCCAAAGGAGTCATGACTCACAGGTTAAGAACTGCCATGTCTGTCTTCTGTGGCTTCTTAAACTTCACCTTTGAGGCCGGGCCAGGCCTCACAGCACAGAGGCCGAGCTGGGCATTGACAGTCGTCCAGGCAGCCCCGGGTTGGGAAGGGTGTGTGGTGCGTTCAGTGGGCTGTGGGGAGGGACAGCAGGTCATCGCTGGGCCCCCCTCTCCTCCGCAGGGCTTTGAGGCCGCTGCCCGGGATGTGGAGACGCTGATGGAACGGCTGCGGCAGCTTCAGGAGAACCTGCTGCTGCAGGAGGGGGCGTCCCAGGAGGAGATGGAGAACCGCTTCGAATTGGAGAAGTCGGAAAGCCTGCTGGTGACTCCCTCAGGTACTGGGTCTGTGCTGCCCCTCCTCTGGGGGGGAGTCGCCACCATGCCGTGCACCACGTCGGTTCTGGAGGCCACCACGTCTTGACCACGCTTTCAGTTGCTTTCTGAGCATGGGCTTTGGGGGAGAGACCTGGGTTTGAATTCTAGTCTCTTCCCCTTTCCACTGTGTGACCACTGACAGAGCCGGAAGTCACTTCCTGCCTCCGGGCCTCAGTCCCCTCACACAAGCAGGACTGGGGTGGAGGCTACACGGGGCAGCAGAGACACAGCTCTTAGCACAGAAACGGACCAAGGCTAAGCAATCCCATAGAAAATGGCCACTGCTGATGTTGCTGTAATTTCTAGGGACCTTCTCTGCCCTCCTCCCCAAGGGCCAGACCTCGGCTGCAGTCTGGGTCCCACTCACTGTATGCAGGGACTTCCTCTCTCCCTCTACTCTGTGCCTGCCTTTGCCCTGCCTTCATGGTTGAATGGAAGTCGAGAGGTCGGGGTGTGTGTGCACCAGGCGCCAGCCTCATGGTGACCTCTTTCCGACCTGGTTTCCAGCGGACATCCTGGAGCCCTCTCCACGCCCAGACATGCTGTGCTTTGTGGAAGACCCCACTTTTGGATATGAAGACTTTACCCGAAGAGGGGCAGAAGCACCCCCGACCTTCCGGGCCCAGGTAAGCATCTTCCTGCCCGCTGCTCTAGATTAGCAGACGGAACAGATGTGGTTCTCAACCTTCCTCATGCCACACCCTTTTAATACAGTTCCTCATGTGGGGGTGACCCCTCAACCATAAAATTATTTTCACTGCTACTTCATCACTGTCATTTTGTTACTGTGATGAATCAGGCGACCCCTATGAGAGGGACATTCCACACGCACCCCCCCCCCTCACCCCCAAAGGGGTCGCAACCCACAGGTTGAGAACCGCTGGTTTAAATGGTTATGGAGTTAGGCACTTCTCCCTACCTGGAATCCTCCTAGGTTCCATTAGGGGCATAGGAGACCCTCTGAATCCTGATGGAACCCCGCTGCCCCAAGCTCAGGAGGTTCTGACCTTAAGGAAGAGTTCATCACCACGATGTCCCTTCCTCAGCTTCTTACCTGGAACCAGCCGCAGGTTCTGTGTGGGGGGTGGGCGGCAGGGGGCATTCTAGAGAACAGAGGTGTGCTCCAGCGGCCCAGCACCTAGGCCCTTTCTGACCAGGCTTGGATCGCACAGGCCCTGCTGACGGACTCCTTCCTGTTGTTCTCAGGACTACACCTGGGAAGACCACGGCTATTCGCTCATCCAGCGGCTCTACCCCGAAGGTGGCCAGCTGTTGGACGAGAAGTTCCAGGCGGCCTATGGTCTCACCTACAACACCATTGCCATGCACAGTGGCGTGGACACCTCCATGCTCCGCAGGGCCATCTGGAACTACATCCACTGTGTCTTTGGCATCAGGTAGCCACAGTCCCCTCCCCCAGGGCATGCATGTGCTGCAGCTCCCAGTTCTCTTGTCCTCTCTTCCATTCTCTGTGCCTGTGCTGTCTTTCAGGACAAATGGATGTCCATGCTGACTGAGAGATCATAGCAGTGCTGGTTATTTGAGCCTCAGAAATGAAGCTCTTCCATCTCACCTCCCAGCCTGAATGATGTTTACATTTTATTTTCATTCCAGGTAGCAGTCCTTGCCTCACAATAAATAAGGATAACAAATCCACTGCCATCGAGTCAATTTGGACTCATAGCAACCCTCTGTAGGGTTCCCAAGGCTGTAAAATCTTTACCAGAGCAGACAGCCTCATCTTTCCCCTGCAGAGAGGCTGGTGGGTTCGAACCACTGAGGTTGCCAGGCCAGTGCTTACAGCACCACCTGCTCCTTCAACAACACCTAAATGCTAAAATAGGGGTCCTTAGTAATGCTATGTATGGTCATCCAGTGAAATATTATGCAATTGAAGTTTCTTTATATTCAATGATGGTTATCTCTGTGTCATAGAAAGTGATGAATTACATTTTCATCTTCTTAAGTACTTCCTGATTTTTGTTTTTGTAAGTCGAGTCTTGTTTTGTTTTTTAATTGATGCAATATCCTCTGCAAGTTCTTCACCAAATGCTCCATCGTGAGTCTGCTTCCTTTCAGTCTCCGTAGCGCTCTTACTCGTCTACGGCCAAGCCCCCTGCACGTGCCTGGCCTCGTCCATAGCGCTCTTACTCCTAACCGCGCCATGATATTCTGATGTGGGTGCCTCAGAATGGCTCAGACAACCTCCCGTCGGATTTACTTGTTTGCTTTTTTTCACTATTTTAAACTACATGGGTACTGACTAGCCTTCTACATAAATCTTTTTTTAACGTAAAAGATCTAATCTCATTCTCTGGAATATGGAAAACTCCAGCTTAAGAAGAAAAACAATCTCTCAAAATGCTGCCGCTCCATTTCATCCACACCCACTTCCTGGAGTGGTTTTCCATTATCTTTCGTTTCTTCCATGCAATCGCTTTTGTACAGTTGAAATTATAGTGGTTCATTTCTCTTTTTAAAAATCATGAATGTATTTGCTGTAAGGACAGTCTGATTTAAGAAAACACAGCTAAGAAGAAAGCCTAGTTAACAACAACACTCATCCACGATCCTGCCTCTACTCTCACCGATCACAAAACAAGACCCGTTGCTGGTTCCTTGCCCACTCAGTGTGCTCCTTGGGTGAACCATACCTACTTTCCGGGAACACAGGTCTGTCTGTCTGTCTTTGCTTTTCTCCTTTCACACTTGAGAGCATGCTGTTCTGTCCATCACCGGTGGACTCTCAATTGTATCTCACCGAGGAGGCTGCGCTATACTTCCTTGGCCACCCCCCTGGTGGTCCTTGGCAGGTTTAGGACACAGAGGAGGCCAAGGACAAGCAGCTTAGAAGGCAGCATGGCCTAGTCCCTGCCCAGCTCTCCGGTCCAGGCTTCTTCACCACCACCTGGAGCTTACTCCCTCACCTTAGTTTTCTGCACCTGTCTATCCATTTTCAGCCAGCCTTGCTCACCCCCCCTGTTCTGTAATATCTATGACTGCCCTGGCTCACTCAAGTAGCGAGTGGACAGTGTGTCTTCTCTCTTTGTCTCCAATTTTGACTTTGAGCCAATTAGTGGCCTTCCTCAGGCTTTCATGTGCCCGACTACAGAATGGGAAGCAGCTCCTGCTGAGCCTTTCCTTCTTTCTTCTCCAGAGTGGATATTTCCATGGCCTTTAGCTCAGAAGGACTACGGCCTTGTAGCCGGGCAGACCTGAGTTTGAATCCCATTCCAGCTGCATCTCAGTTCATGAACCTTGCTGTGTACAGCAATTTTTAGGGTTTCACAAGTACTTGGCACACAGTGGTACTTAATGCAGCGTGCTCGCTCTCTGTGCGTCCCTTAGAGGCTGGTGGCCACTGCCACTTGACACCCGCCTGTCCTAGTGGAACCAGCCTCTTGTTGCTTCTGACCTTCTGCCTGTTCTCACCGCTCTCCGTTCCTCTGTCTGTGGGGGTTGAGGGGAGGCTGTTACTTCGGGGGGTAGAAGGTAAGTGACGTTGCTGGGGCCTCTCCTTCCAGATATGACGACTATGACTATGGGGAGGTGAACCAGCTCCTGGAACGAAACCTTAAGGTCTACATCAAGACGGTAGCCTGCTACCCAGAGAAGACCACCCGGCGGATGTACAACCTCTTCTGGAGGCATTTCCGCCACTCCGAGAAGGTACAGCCCGTCGGGGAGGGGGCAGGGTGGAGTAGACAAGCACAGCGAGCGAAGGGGACAAGGGAGGAGGACCTGTGAGGAAACCCCCAGGGTGGGTCTGCTCTGCCAGGCAGGATGCCTGGGTCTGTCGTTCTGGGTGCAAGTCCTACACTCCTGTGTGGTTCCAGACCCGGCTGCCTCATCTGCGAATACCAATACGTGCTCCTGCTTCCCAGGGTCCTCTGGGGCCACCCAGTAGACCTGAGTTAAATGGCAGTACTGTTACTCAGTTGCTGTGTGACAGTGGGGCAGGTCAGCTTGCCTTTGAGCCTTTTCACTTTACAATGGGAATAGTAGATACTATCTGCATTTTAAGGCTACTGGGAGGATGGAATGAGAAAATGGCTTCAACCCCCCTATCCTTAGTCAGTATTCCTACCCAATTGCTCAGAGCCCTAGGAAAGGCAGGCATCTCTCCGTGTGTGTGCAAGGGGAGTAGTCAGAGAGAGTGACAATCTGGGAGGAGTGAGGGGAGGGCAGGGCTACCACAGTTACCAACAAGCCATTCTCTGTACCCCAGGTCCACGTGAACTTGCTGCTCCTGGAGGCTCGGATGCAAGCCGCCCTGCTCTACGCCCTCCGTGCCATCACCCGCTACATGACCTGACTCCTACACCGGACCTGGCCCTGGAACAACTGGCCCTGCAAAGACTTCTCTGCCTGGAGACAGACCCAGACTCGTCCTTGGCCCATGCCCGCCCAGCCCCCTCTGGGTGTGGGCATGCGTGTGACCTGCAGCCCCGAGCCACACCCTCCCTTTTCTCACTGCAATGGACAGGATCATCACACGGACTCTGGGATCCCGGCACTGCTCCTTGGGAGCCAGGAGAGGACAAGGAGACTTCAAGGGGCCACCCCACAAGCTCTGGGGCCTCCCTGGACTGGAAGTCCCTGGCTGGCCCTGCGGAAGGGGCAGACGCCTCCTCCAGGGACTGACACTCCAGGCGGCTCTGCCCTTCTGACCCCTCCTTCCCAGAACTCATTACCTCCCGCCTGCCATTCCCCCATCAATGTGAAAGCCAGGGTCCCAGCTGGTCTGTGTGCCTGGCTCCCCTTAACCCTGCTCTGCTGGGTAGTCTGAGGCCCCTCGTTCCCCACTGCCCCATCCAAGTGTAGCTCTTTCGACCTTCTTCTCCCTCTTAACCCGTTATGCCCGTCCTGGGTGTGTGGGACCCAGCACATGTGTCTCCAGAGACTTTGGGCCTCTGCCAGTGGCTCCGCCTTCTGGAGAAGCGGGCGTCTTCGATGACTGGTTCTCTGCTTCTTGGTCCTCGATGGTTGCTCAGATCTCCTCAGGGGCCTCTTCCCAGGAGTCCATATCAGGGGGAGCAGGGATGGGAGAATCTTTTCTCCTCAGGACTGCGCCCACCCTGCAGAGACTGGCACCACGCTATCTCTCGTGGCTCGGCCACAAGTGTTTGCCAAAAACACTTTCGAACCTTTCATGGTGGCTCAGAGAGCACCGTGTGGCCCAAGGGAGAGCCGGGAGTCACCAGTATTCTTGTTTGGGGCCCGGCACCAGCCTGGTGACCATGGCTATGTTGCCAAACCACCTTGACCTCCATTTCCACAGCTGCAGACCAAGGGGCAGATGGAGATTTCCAAGCTGTCTGACTCTTCACCCTGCGAGTCCCAGGCCAGCAGCAAACAGACTTCCAGGCAGGATCTCGAAGGCCTCTGGGGACATCCGGCTGCTCTTTCCCGGTGTCTGTTTCTTGCCCTCAATGGACGAGAGGCAGGCTGCGGCATGGTGGACTGATCCCAGCCACTTTCTGTAACAAACAAGCTGTGAATTCTGGCTTCTCTGGCCCTGTTTCCGGCAGCATATGCCTCCCCTCTGCCCAGCTTGGAGGTGGCCAAAGAAAGGGAAGGGCCAAGATGCTGCCACCACCCTTCCCCACCCGGAAGTGGGGTAGGAGAGGAGCTGGGCCAGTGCCACATTTCATACCCGCGCAGGCACGGGAAGCCACGGGCACCTCCTCCAGCCCCTCCCCACAAAGAAGCTGGCAAGTGGGAAAGGGCCTGAGCATGGGAGTGTGTATCCTGGAGGAGAAGGGGTGACCCTGAGAAAAGCCCCCTGGTGGGTGGGGAGAGATGCCCAGTGTTAAGTACAGAAACCTTTGGCTTTGTTATTCGTGTCGACAAATAAAGGTTCACGGAGGTTTGGTTTTGTACTTCTTGCTAATGGTCTCTCCACTTCCTCAGGGTCATGGTTCACCTCCCAGCACAAGCACGGCGTGGCGATTGCATCACAGACCTGCCCTCCTGCCCCCTCTCTGCCAGGCCCTTGTACCCAGTGACGACAGGGTTGGGAGCGGTTGGCATGGAAAGCAGCGTGTGCCCCTTGGGTGTCCATCTACAGCTGGCCTCATTTACCAAGCTCTGCGCTAGCTCCTTAGGGAGGGCATTTCTAATCTGCAGCAATCCCACAAAAGAGCCAAGCCTCAGAGGTGAACTGCCAGGGCCACAGCTAAGTTGGTGGTGAGGCCAGATTCCAACCTGAGCCGGCCTGAGCCTGACATTTCACCTTGCTGCTTTTCCCACTCACGCTCACCCAGGAGTAGAGGGAGACAGCAGGTCCCTTCGGGAGGCGACCCCTAGAGTCCTCTGCCCCACCATGTTGAGTCTTCCTGCTTCTGAGCCCTTTCCAGAAGCCAGGAGACAGAGCAGGGCATCGGTGGTTACATAGGACCCGCAAGTTGGGCCAGTGTCATTTAGTTGCTGTGTGGCTTTGGTCAAGTTTCTTAACTTCTATGAGCACCAGGAACTAGGACGCTGACCAGGAAAACCACATCATGACTAAGAGCTAAGCCTTCTCCCACTTCTCTAAATACTGTGCTATCGTAAAATGACAGTTCACCTACACGAAGCCTTCCCGATTGATTCCATGTCTGGTTTCCTTTTGAGGTTGTGCCTTGTAGTACACACGCCACATCTGCTCTTTACATTTGCTCTTGCTACTTTTTAGTAAGGAGCCCTGGTGGTGTGGTTGGTGGTTACGCATTGGGCTGCTAACTGCAAGGTCAACAGTTCAAATTCACCTCCACCAGGCACTCCGGAAGAAAGACGGACTCTACGCCCATAAAGTGCTAGTGTCCTGGAAACCCACACGGGCAGTTCTGCCCTGTCCTAAGGCATCCTTGTGCATCATTAGGGACTCGTGGCTGCCAGTTTTCGGAGTCTTCTTCCTAGCAATCATTTGAGAGGGTGCGACAGTGTATCAGTCCTGGAATTCACCATCTCTGGTTCTCGTCTTTTTGCTGCTTATCCAAAGGACCTGTGGAGGACTGGGTAATCTCTTTGTATTACAGATTCCTTAGCTGTGAAAAATGAGGGGCTATAGACTGACCCTGCCTGTTGTACCTAAAGACTCCGAACTTGTCAGCTATACCTGCTGAAAGGGTGCGAGGAAGACTTGTGAGCCCTGCTTCTCCAGGAGCCAGCGTCTGTTGTTTCTTCACACCAACTGAGCCTGTGATGGCGCCAGATGTTTTCAACATGAAAACTTTCCAACCGCGCTGGGAGGAGGGGTGGTGTGCCCATTTTGCAGATGTGGAAATGGAGTAGGAGACGCCCGCCGGTTCAGCGTTTAACATAGGCTCCAATTCCAGCCTTGGCCTTTCATGTCTGTTTATCTCTGTGCAAGTTACCTCAACCCTCCCTCCTCAATTTCCTTCTCTTCCGTATGGAATGGAAACCCGGGTCACAGGAGGTTGTGAGGATTAAATAATGCATGGAAACGACCTTCTGCAGTTTAGGTCCCTGGCACCTACCTTGAATGGGTCCTTTAGGAGGCCCAAGGTCATTGAATCCCTCACACTCCAGATCTCTTGTCCCGCAATTCCCTAGGCTTTTGATCTGCCCATTTTCAAGCTTGTTCTAGTCCATGGGCACATGGAAATTGAACATGCGTGGTTCCAGATTGTATCCAATAAATCTGTTTCAGCCGCTTGCAATTTGCAACTCAGGACCTGGTCGTATCTCAGATGCAAACAGGGGCTTGGGGAGGTTGCTGGTGGCTCCGTGCTTTTGTTTCTTGTTCTAACTCTTGATTATGAATTTGGAAAGGTTCACAGAGCAGACCATCCCTTTTCCACTCAGCAGTTCATACACATTTTGTTTCCTCTCCGTGATTGCCATCTCCACAGTGAACCTCCCTTAGCTCACGGCCTCCCTGCATTTCCTGCTTCCTTCCTCCTCCTCTCCCAACCCTTTGGAACTTGGTCATTGGCTGAAGGCTGCCCTTTTGATCAAAAATGTTTCATGATTCTAAAGCATGCCTCCCACACTAGCCTCATTGTTTCTCTTAGAGACCTATTATTTGACCCAAAAGTGAGCCATGGAAGTGAGTTCATTTCCAGGCCTGAAGGGCTCTAAGGGTCTTGGGGGCTCCATTAGCTCCTATCAGACTATGAAGCCTAATCTTTTTGATAATCTCGAGTTCTCTTCCACATTTTTCTCCTATCCAAGGCCTTTGAAGGCGATCCCTTCCCGAGTGGCCGAAAGTAGTAAGTCTAGCTCTTCTGGTCTCAAAGTCATGGAGACTGAGTGCTAAGTGGCCCTTTGGTCCATTGGACTAATGGTTTCTGTGTGTCTTCAATTTTCATCACTCATTTTTCTTCTGGACAGGGAGAGACCAACAGTTGCACCTTAAATGGACCTTCCTGAGCTTTTAAGACGCCAGCCACTATTCAACAGGTAGCCTGTAGAACGTTGTCTTTGTGACTGTTTGCCAATTGACCTAGGTATTCCCCCAAGGCACTGGTCCTGAGCCTCCAGGCCCAGCGACTCATCACCTCAAGGTGTTGGGTTATGTCTAAGTTCTCATGACTTTACCCGCTGTCTATGCCACCACATTCACGGATATAGTTGCAGTGAAAGTAAAGGAGCCCCACAGGACCAGTGGTGTGAGTGGTGATACAGGGAAGGTAGAGGGAGAGTGGGTTGGAAAGAGGGAACCGATTACAAGGAACTATATGTGACCTCCTCCCTGGGGGACAGAC